CAGAGTATCAAAGAATATGTTGACCAAGCAACAGTTATTCAATTAGCATTATTGATTATTGTTCACAATACTAAATCGAATGTGTATAAACAATTCTAAACTCCGTGGACTCAGTTTTGAACTAATAAGCATATTGAAGTAATTTTTCGGTGTAATGTTTTATGAAAAAAAAATCGAAATATACAGCGTGAGTTTTTTTCAATGACTAGTACAGGAATAAATAATATGCAATAAAAAGTGCGGCATTCATTTAAAAAAATGTAAGTTTGGTCCGCCCTTTGAATTGGAGACACCCTGTATCAATTGGTATTGTCTTATAAATTAGATGTTATTATCTACAACTTCTGCGTTTAATGTTTTTTTTTGTAAATTTCAAATTTCAATAACCCTGTATGTTTTTTTACATAGTTAAAAAAAAAATAACAGGGGTTGACATCGGGTGAATGGTTCACAACTGTTGAAGGAAAAAAAAATATTTTTTAGACTTAGCAAAAATGTTTTTATCATGTAGCGACAACATGATAAAAAAAGACATATTCAAACTTCCTTTATCGATTCCTGAAGGCATCCAGATTAAACCTTATAGGCACTATACCCGGCATAGCGCATATACCTAGTATAAAGCAGCATCTTTATACCATATAATATACAATGCAATACATTTAAGACGATTTTTCTGTTTTGTTACGGGCATCTACGAGAACTTGTACAGGCCAGACGAATTACGACGAAATCTTTCAAATATGGTTCTAACGTGACGTAACTTATATAACTATTGGAATCGCTCGGGAATGGTATACTTATTGGAAATATCGAGATACACCAGCTTGAAAAGGTGTACTATTTGCATAGACAACGAAAAAGTGAGAAAAAATGCGAAAATCACGTTTTTCCCCGGAAACAATCGCATACAGGGTGTCCCACTAGAAAATTGTCTACAAGAGTGAGTTGGTCCGATATCTGTAGATTTGAAATGTTCGCTTTAAAATGCCCAAAAGTAGGTAAAAAACAAGCTAAATCTGAATTATTTACTTAACAGTAAAAAAATAATCCAATCACGCCATACATTTAGGAAAAAGTACTTGACCGCAATATAAAACGAGAGCCGCAAGGCCGATTAAGATCGTACAGACAGTACCTAATGCAAGTTACGTAACCTACCTGAGAAAATACCTTTTTTTAATTTTGTGCCAGGTTCAAAGTTATGAATATGTTTTTGCGCCGGGGCTTTTACACCTTCTTGGAACTTTAAACATCATATACAATTACTATATTAACCATTTTTCAATTTTTAATAACTTTTTGATCGGTTTTAAAGTTTTAAAATTATAGCTTAAAAACAAATCAGCTTGTGAAGCGGGACTGGCGAGTGGAAACAAATCGAAAAAATTCGGTCCCGTAGATGTTGAGACATTAACTTCCAAAGTTGAGCAGGGTATGCGGCGTAACGATTAATGATATAACAATAAATTATGTACCAATGGGTAGTTTTTTTCGAGATGTTTTCGTATCTGCATTCAAAAATTACATTGCACGTGTGCATCACACACAAAAATTTGCATGAACATTGTATAGTGCGCGCTAGGAGCCGAAAGTCGGGGGGTGGGCTCAACTGGCGCATCGCTCAATATGTAAGTTTTACAGGAAACGATAAATAATCGATTAGCGACCATCCAAATTGAGAAAAAAAATGCAAGYCGCTGGATATCGTACTGCTCAAGCTCAAGAAGACGCTGATACTCGTCAAGTAATTGTCGAAACCGCTATAAGTCTAGCCACCGACAAAAACCCAGCCRTTGTAGTTGAAGATATAGCTGAGTTCGTAATTTTATCGCAGAGCGCCTGCCGATTAAAGAATTTATTTCTTAAAACCAAGTAGAGGAAAAACAGCTGAAATGGTTTACAGTTCCACATTTCTTATAGGCAAAAATATAAAAAACATGATTGCTTCTATTCACGTTTTCACTGGATGCGATACTAGATCTACTTTTTTCAAATAAAGAAAAGCTAAAATTATAAAGCTTAATTGAAGAAGCTTTAATTTTTAATAAAACAAATGCAACTGCACAAAAAATCGATAACGCCGGCACAAAAATCATTGCAGCTATGTATGGGGGCAGGAAACCTAGTAATTTACAATTAAATGATCTAAGATATTTATCTTTTGAAAGTAGCTCTACAAAGAAAGCTTTTCATTTAGCTATGGCTTCGCCAACTGAATTGCTGCAAAACGGAATACATCAGAGCATATTATCAAGTGCAACAATGGTTCGGTAATTCGTTGGACCCGACGCAATGGGGTTGGAATGTTAGGCATAATAAATTACAACCTACATGTACAACTGATTTACTTCTTCCTGACAATATATTACAAGACATCAGTTGTAATTGTACAAAGGGCTGCACCAAATTTTGTAGTTGTGTAAGACACGGATTATTGCACAGGAAAATGCATTAGACAGTAATATAGATGTAGAAGATAGTAGCGAACTTGATATTGATGGGGACAATAATGTACAATTCAATGTAACTACAGACATATTAACAGCTGACGAATGCGTTTCCGACAACAAAGACAGCGACGACGAAATTCCACGTAAGAATCAAAAGTCTGCGAATTAATATAATAAATGAATTTGTATTAGAAATAAATTCTCTAAATTTAGAGAAATTGTCAATATTTTACGATTGTTTAAATCTTATCTCCTGTTATTGGATCTACTATATGCATTAAATAACATTTAAATTAAATTATAATATTATTACTCAATAATTCGTCAATTTAATACTAATTTATAATGCGCAATATATACCCAATAACGATATTATGGTTAGTACAAGGTTTAGAAAATTTACAAATGATTGATTATGAAAATCGACCACCAATTGTTTATTTTTTAAAATTGGTAATTGTAACTATTAACATTGAAATCCTCTCCTTTTTCTACACTACTTAAAACTACACACCTTAAAAACAAATCGTCAAAATAAGTGCAGTAGAAGCCGAGATATATCATCGTCAAGCGAGCACTCGGATTTCAAGTTTCCCAGCCTATTCACACCTCCTAATTTCGGCTCCGAGCGCGCACTACTCAATGTTTATGCAAATTTGCATTTCATGAAAAATTAAAGAAACAATCCGATATTCTATAACGGGCGGAAAAAATCTACATACGTTGTTGAATTACAAAATGAACTCAAAAGGTTCATTCAACAGACTTGAAACAGCTACCAATGTTTTAACAAATTTTATTTCAAATCAAAAGAGCATTTCAATGTTATCATTAAATTTCCAAAGTTTACGTGCACATGCTTTGGACCCCGAAGACACTGTTACGCAACGTAGAATTATATTGATTTTATCAGAACCTTGGATGAGTAATGAAGAAAACGTCGATGTCCCACATTTTCATTGTGGTGCTAAGTTCAAAAGACTTACTTGTCGAGCCGCAGGTGTCAACTTCACACTTTGCTCACTTCACAGATGGATGCTACCGTTCATACTTCTCACTTATATGGAGTTAATAATATCGCCAATAGAAGAGATTTGTACGGTGAAATGTCAAACAGAAAATGGACAAGAAATTGAAATGGTAGCACTTTAGCTCTCACTTAACCAAAGTATGATGAAAATCATCGAATTGATACATGAAAATTTATTAATATATAACAAAGCAGGATCAGTTCTTCTCAATCGGAACCTTCATACATTACCTATGATTTTGAGTGGTGATTTCAATGTTGATTTTTCAAATGACTCATAGAAGCCTTTAGTTGATTTTTAAAAATCGACATTGGATTAGAATATATCGAATATTCAAATGAAAGTACAACAAAATACGGTACAACGATTGACGAGGTTTTTGTTAGATATCCATCAAATAGATTCCAATCAAAAGTGTTCATAGCATATTTCAGTTATCACAAACCCATTGTTTCATTTTTAGAATATGATAGGAAGTACGATCAGTTAGAGCAAAGTGTTCCATAGTAATTTATTATATCCCTCTTGTCATAGCAATTTATATTTAATTATAACTGTATTATATCGTGGGCTTAAAGCTAAAACCGACCAACTCTAAAATTAATTTTTTGGTAAATGTAGTTTTAAACCGACCCAAAATTATATCAGAATTACTAAAAATATTTTTTTAATTCACTTAAAGCACGCAGTTAAAAAAAAATTGTAACTTTTTAAACTAACCAAACACAAATACAGCAATTTTGGACTTGGTCACTTTTAGCTTGAAGCCCACGATATCGTAAATGTTATTTTACTTTGTAAAAATATTTAGAAAAAATATATTTATTTTATACTATTAATTATTACTGCCTTCCCTCGCTTCTTGAAGTTTTCACTTCTATCGTGTGGCAGATACAAGATTTTTTCCAAGAAGCGTCTTTCCTAGTACTGTTTTTTCATACTTTCTATTGTTTTTCCGATTTGTTCCCATTCACAAGTCCCGCTTCACAGGCTTATTTGTTTATAAACCAACATTTTGAAACCTTTTAAAACCGCTCAAAAAGTTATTAAAAATTGAAAAATGGTTAATATAGCAACTGTATATGACCGTTGAAGAGTCCAAGAAGGTGCGAAAGCGCAGGCTCAAAAAAATTTTCATAAGTTTGAGCCTGGCACAAAATTAAAAAAAAGGTATTTTTTCAGGTAGATTACTTAACAACTGCATTACGCAAAAAATCTCCTTCAGATCTTAATCGGCCTTGCGGCTCTCGTTTTGTATTGCAGTCACGTACTTTTCTCTAAATGTATGGCGTAATTGGGTTATTTTTTCATTGCTAGATAAATAATTTAAAATTACCTTGTTTTTCGCCTACTTTTTTGCACTTTCGAGCATTTTGCAGCAAACATTTCAAATCTATGGATATCGCACCACCTCTATCTTGTAGACAAATAAAATGCAACCTTTTACGTTTCCGCAAAACACGCAATTTTCGCATATTTTCCACTTTTTCGTTGTTTATGCAAATAGCACACCTTTTCAAGCTGGCGCACCTCCATGTTTTCAATAGATATACCATTCCCGATCGATTCCAATAGTTATCTAAGTTACGTCACGTTAGGGCATGCCAATCTGTAACTCTCCTGGCCTAGTAATACTAAATGTAATACTAATACTACTAAATATAATTTTGGAATTTGACCCTTACTTTATCATAGACCATATCAGTCATAGCTTTCATAGAAAACACTTTTCATCATTTAAAAATATCTTACTTTACCGCAGAATCGGTTCATAATGAATTATTTATACAGGGTGATTCAAAATTGACGTCATTCCTTTTAAGGGGTAATAGGCGCTCACTTATAGAGTATGAGAAAACCCTGAATTTTTTTGCATTTCTAAAAGATGTTAACAGTTGAAAATCGAATTTCAACTTTGTTATTAAGCATTATTTTTAAATTGTTCCATGTTTAATTGGTAGCATATTGGAATACTTACGCATTAAAAAATAAAAATTACAATCTTTGCTAGACTTTGCTTCAAATCACGAAAATTTTTGAAATTAAAAAAGTTCCCTTCTACAATTTTTTAATAAAAAGTCAAAGACGTAATGATGTTTTTTTGTCATAACAGATAATTACAGGGAGTTAGCCTTTGTCAATAATAACAATAACTTGTTAAACTGCGACTTACTTTGAAGCTCCTTTCACAAATTTGCCAGATGCCACAATAAGATAGCAGAGCTCACGCCAACAAAAGGCGAGACACACTGGCGATTGTCTCCAAGAAAATAGTGAACGAAAATAGATGTTTGGGTTCCAGACACAGAGGAACAAGTATTGGACATAATTGCAGAAGAGCCTTTCAGGGGCACACAGAACATTGCACAACAACTGACACTTTCCCAGGCACCAAATAAATACCGGCTACATTCCTACCACCTAGATAAAATACACACAGCACAAGGACACATTAAACCAATGGATTACTGTACACCGGTACAAATTGAACAGGGATTAATTAACCTAAACCGAGAAGCTGCTCGAGAAGAGTGGATAATGAGATTACACAGGCACTAACTTGTTTCGAGTCAATGACTCAAATGTATGTTTATTTGTAAACATAAATTAGAGGTTATGAGGACAATAATTGACATTCGAAAAAATCGGTTCGACATTCAACGAATGCTGTTGAATTTACTGATTACCCTTGTCTATTTTATTGTTACTTTTTGTATAATTCCATGGTTAACAGAGTTTTTAATAATTTCGAAGCAATAAGTATTTCCGTAAATTAATTAGGCAGATTACCTTGAAAAACATTGTTGCCGTCTTCTTGATATAGTTTTTTTTGCAAATTTCTCAGTTTTTAATAACAATTATATTTTAACCATTTTTTCTATACTCCTAAAACACCGCCAGACAACATCTACAGAGGAATGACGATCATTTTGAATCACCCAGTACATTATTTATACATAAGTGCGGTTTAAATACGGTATCTATTAAGTTTTAATACATACTTGTAACCAGATCTCAATGAAATTATTCAGTTTCAACATTGTATCACTACTTGGCAGAAGTGCATCCAATCGGCGTTTAGGTAGATTCTGTAACCATAATCCATAATCCAATTTCGATTTACTGAGTATTGTAAACATAATATCTGAGATCAACATTCTAATCAGACCTCTTATTTGGGGATCTGGATGTGTAGAAAACAACTTAATGTCTTCAATTCTCTGACCGCTACTTTCAGCATTTCCTTCCTCGTAGTTTTTGTCCAGATATTCAAAAAATGCATTTGGATACAATCGGAATATAGCGGATAAACATTTTAAGGCAGAAGATTTCACTGAAACTCTACTAGTCTTATCACCTATGCATTTCCCTGGAACTCCGGTGAGTAGATATAATTTGACTATCAGCCTTGTACAATATAAGAGAGGTATCGACTTATCGAGATAGCTGCCAATGTCAACTTCCTGAAACAATATTAAAATTATTATTATCAATCCTAAAACATTCATGCAATAATGCATGACTTCTAGCAAATTAATTTATATTACTATATTACCGACTAGTAATCGTATGAAAACCAATTTACCATTTCATGTCTACACGTCCAGAGCCAGAACTTCGTAAATTTAATTTAAAAAAAATATGAAACTGGACAAGGATGTCAAAACGATTTTAATTCTGCATATAACCAGATCTAAGTTAATAATAACGACGTGAACTGTTTGAGAAAAAATACTATAATGTACATTTCCTTCCATCTCCCTCAGAAATAAAACAAATTGGTTTTTACTGAAAACATGTTTGCCGTGAAGCTGTTCCTAAACTACGTAAAGTAAATTCGGACAATTTTCAAGATGACCTTCGTCTATTTGATGTCGTCCAGCCTCATTTATTGGTGGCAATCTGTTCTGACATCAGCGACTCTAATTCTTTCTCTGGTGATGTCGTTCCTGACTCGGTCTCTCAACCTGATCCCCAGGATCGTCCGTTCCATTACCCGTTGACACACTCTGAGTCGGTTCGCTCTGTTTGGTGTCAGAGTTATAGTTTCAAAACCGTAGATCATGACCGGTAAGATGCAGGCGTCGAACACTTTCCGCTTCAGGTTAATGGGTATGTCCGGTTTTTTGGGGTTGTGGTCAAGTTTTTGATCTTCTTTTGGAAAGAAGGTTTTCAGGTTTTTTTGAGGTTCATCCTCAGGCACACGGACTCCGAAGCTGCCTTCAGGTCTCTCAGAAGCAGTCCAAGATTGTCGGCATCACCGCTCACCAGGACAATATCGTCAGCGCAACGTAGAGTCAGGAAGTCAGGAACCTCCCAACTTGGCAGAAAAATACCCCCAAACTGGCAGAAAAATATCAGTTGGCCGAGATTAAAATAGTATCACAATCGTTCGTTCGTCGCTCTTAAGCATGCTCAATTCGGTATTTCTTGACGAAATGTTGGAGATGGTCTTACCCATCTCCGACAACTCGCTAAGTAAATACTTTTACGAAGTTGGGCTGCATGTGTTTTAATATAAGTGTTTAGATCATTTTAAGATATTAAATATTGATTGGGATCTCGAACTGTACATCGAGATATTTTGGATGCAGAATTGGATTTGGCGCCGTTGTTTCGCTGCCGACCGCTCTTCGCTATGCCGGCAGATGTTATCGGCGAATAGCTTACGATCGACTATGCATACGTGCGTAAGTCTTCGCCGGCTTTAGCGTGGAGAGTGGCATGTTCATATACAGGGTTGCTCATTAGTGCGTCAAAGTGCGATATCTCAGTAAATATGAACTTTACAAGAAAATACGTCCTACGAAAGTTTTTCATGTTTAA